TGATTGGCTAGACAGGCTTTGTACACAGCTCTTCCCTGATACCAAATTTGAATGTCAAGACGGGCTTTCTAGAGGTTTCCTCGAAAGGATAACTCTAATAGAGTTTTCCCAGAGAGGTAAGTCGGCAAGCATGGCTTGAACCCACAGCAATGTCAGGGATTTGTTTTGGAATAGCAAATCAAGAACAAGAAAGAAATCAGGCCAGGGACATGGCTTAGTGATCCAGTGCTTATGTCTGTCTATCTGTCCATTGTCTCTCATCCCTGATGATCATGGACTATGTCAATCATTTAACAATCACTATCTACCTACCTATCAATCATTTATCCATTAAATTGTTCTATCCTTAATCATCCTGCCTCCAAGCCCCTAGCTTGTGATTCTTTCTGAGTTGTAAGCTTAAAACAAGTCACTTTCTCCTTAAGTTTCTTTTTAGCACAGCAATAGAAACAGTAAGTCACTGCCAATACCCGTTTTAGTACTAACTCACTCTCCAGGGGCGAGATCCCAGCCCAGAGATTGTCTCTTAGCACTAGACTCACTCACTGACTGTGTCTTAGTAAGGTGTTTTCCCCATCTTTGAAAGGAAGAGGAGGCTGTTGCAGAAAAGCTAGATTCTAGTGTTGCATTCTTACAGGTAGTTAGGGATTGCTGGAGAACTGGAGGTCGCCAGGCAGTCTAATCAGTGAGCTCCAGGCCAGTGAAAGACACAAGATCAGATTGATGGGGGACGGCAAAGACTAACCTCTGGGCTCCACATGCATGGGGATACCTTTGCAGCATACATAAATAAACGTGCACATGAGCACCTGTACACTCACAGAAACCAAAACACAGCTGGTCTGCAGGTGCTACCTATACTAGCCTCTAGAGGGCAGGCCCTCCCCCAGTGGGGTGGCTTTGGTACCATCAGCTTCCTTTAGTATTTTCCAGGTATAGTATTTTTCTGTTACAGGCTTTCCCCAGTATCCCCAGTGGTTAGAGCCCTGTGGTTATCTCCTTTCCAACAATAAATCTCCCACCCTACCCTCACTTCAACTCAGGCCCACAGTATTCCAAAAAAGAGCAGAGTTTTAACCTTTTCACTCCATACCTCCTGTATTTTGTAGTCTTCTTTAAAAATTCAGAATATATATCTATATAATCATTCTTCTGAGTGTAGTCACGAGTGTTAAGCCATGCAGCAGTCACCACCATCTGTCTACAGAAACTTCTCATTTTCAGAATGAAGCCCTGCATCATTAAATGCCAGTCCTCCCCAGTTCTTAGCAGACACACTATTCTTTCCACTTTCTGGCAGAAGACAGAGCCATGTAGATCTCCGAGTTCAAGGTCAAACTACACAGCATGTTTCAGGACAGCTAAGCATATTGAAACCATCATAGGGGGCATTATTGCTTAGTTTTTTGAGACAGGGACTCTGAGATACTCTGGCTGGCCCAGAGCTCACTACATAAAGCAGGCTGGCCTCAGATTTGCAGTGATCCTCCTGCCTCCCGAGTGTTGGGATTATAGGTGAGCCACACATCCGCTTCCTTTCTGGTTGAGTTTGGCCTTCCTGGAGATTTCAAAAGTAGAGTCACAGGGCACCTGTCTTTTTTTTGTGTTGGACTTGCTTCCTATTACTCAAGCGCCTCCAGGTACAGAGGTATTGCAGCAGGTGTGAGCACTTCCTTATTGATTTCTAAGGTTGAATAGTTCTCCACCACAGTATGAGCACACCAGATTTTGTTTATGCATAATGTACCTGAACCCACCCATTCACTTCCACCCTTTGGTCATCGTGAATAATGATGCTTCAAAGGTAAGTGTGCAGATATCTGATGGAGTGTTTGCTTCCAATTTTTCTTTTTTTTTTTAATTGAAAAATTTTTTCATACAATATATTTCAATTATGCTTTTCCCCTCCCCCAACTGCTTCCAGATCCCCTCCATCTCCCCAGTCACCCAACTTCGTGGCCTCTTGGTCTCTTTAAAAAGCAATCAACAACCTCCCTCCCCCCCAAGAGGAACACAAAACAGCCCAGGGAAACACAAAAACAGAAAACAATCTATACATGCAAAAGACTGACCAATGAGACAAAAAGGGTTCTAAACAAAAGCAAAATGAGACAGGAAAGTAACAATCTATACAGGCAAAAGACTGCCCAACAGTCTAAAAAGTTTCTGAACAAAAGCAAAATGAGACAAAAAAGTAACAATCTATACAAGCAAAAGACTGATCAATGAGTCTAAAAAGTTTCTAAACAAAAGCAAAATGAGACAAAAATTTTACAAAATTACCACTACCTTTGATTTGTGTTGGTCAATTACTTGTGAGCATGGCGCCTGCCCTGAGACCTGGTTATACCCAGGGACTCCATTTTCCTTGTCTGGTGGGTATTAGATAGCATCTTGTTGGGGTTGAGAGTCTATACCCATGTTCTCCTCTCAGAGCTAGGACCATGTCTGGTTTTAACTTGTGCAGGCCTTGTACATCCTGTCACTCTCTGTGGGTTTACATGTCTGTTAGTCCAGTTTCCTTGGAGACATACATCATCCCTGGCTCTCATAATCTTCATCTCCCTTACAGATCCGTGAGTCATGAGGGGAAGGCTTTGATTTAGGACCAAGTGCTCCAAAGTCTCTCCCTCTTTGCACATTGTCCAGATGTGGGTCTGTGTCAGTTCCCCTCTACTGCAGGAAGAAGCTTCTCTGACAGTAGCGGAGCTAGCCACTGGTGAGAGTGCCAGCCTGGGGTGGCCATTGGAGGTTCCTGGGTTAGAAGGGAGGGCTGAGAGGGTCAGCAAGAAAGAGCTACCACTCTTTTTTAATCTTTAAATTAAAAAAAATGTGTTTGTGGGCATCTTGTCTGTATGAATATATGTGCTTTGTAATTGTGGAAGCCAGAAGAAGGTATTGGATCCCCTGGTCCTGGAGTTACAGACAGTTGTGAGCTGTCCTGTAGATGCTGGAAACCAACTTGGGTTCTTTGGAAGAGCAGCCAGTGTTCTTAATAGCTGAGCCATCTCTCCAGTTCTTTTTAAAATTGGTGAGCTGACAGGAGAAGATAGATTTTCTATAGGACAGGTATAGGGCTAACTTTATAGAGGGAGATGTTTGTTGGGCTGAATTAAATGACGTACTCGGTGATGGCAGTGACAGGCCACGACCTTGCCACCTGTGTTGTCTTTTGGACTTTTCTAGAGCAGAGACATGGGTGATGTGATGCCTACCCCATCTTTAGGAACCCTGCCTTCCGAAGCTCTGCACATGTGGGTCTCACAGGTCACGGCTATAGCTGCCTAGACATAGCATCACCAACACTTCTACCTCTGCCCCCTACAGTGTTGCAGTTATAGAAATACATGCATGCATGTGCATTTAGCTGTTCTCAGCTGTTTACACTGGTGCACATGGTTGCACAGCAGGTATTTTACCACTGAGTCATCTTCTACTGCACCATCCCTTCGGTCCTGGAGACTTAGTTTCTATGTCTGTCACCATAGCAACAACCACCTTCCCTCTGGCAGCTAGGCAGACTGCACAAGGACCCTTAGTGGGAAGTGACCAGGAGGCACCAAAAGCACACTCAATGCTTTCTGTTTTGTTTCAAATATTTTATTAATCTGTTTGGCCAAACAAGTAATGGAAACTGAGAATAATAATTGGCTAAAAAGTTCAGGTCGTGAGTACCCCTTTCCCCCCAGGAAACGAAAGACTCCATGGTTCCAGAATGCACCTTTAGGATATGATACCATTTCAAAATCAGGTTCCCATTTGTATGTAACAATGTAAACTTCAAAAATAGTAAACTCTAAGCCCAGTCCCTCTGTACAGATCTATCACAGATAGAAGTCTCCAGCAGACCTAAATTGTGTAAGTAAACAGCCCGGCGCTTAAAAGTTTCTTAAAAAGGCTTACAGACTCAGTAAATAATGTTGCAGTCTTGGTCTGGAAGTGAAAGCCACCAGCCGTTCCTCCCACACAGTGCACCTGCTGTGCATGCCGCACACCACCAACCGCCTTCCAAACGCACTGGCCACTGGCTTTGTCACTTTTGAACACACATATACACACATAGTTTGTGTTTTTTTTTTTTTTTAAAGATTTCTACATCTAAATTATAAGACGGCGCCAGTGACATATAATGTCACCTCGCTTCACATAGGACAGAGATGCTGTAGAAGGCACTGAGTTCTCCTCATGGTCTTGTGAGAGCAGACCAGCTAGGTTGGAGTTCTGTTTTCTATCATGTGACCTGGCACAGGCCTGTCCTCTGTTTATCTTCGTGTCTATTGTCTTTTTCTGCTTCACCTCTCTCTTTCCTTCCCATTCACCTATCTGTCCACCAACTATATATCCACCTATATGTTTATCCATCCATCCATCCATCCATCCATCCATCCACACATTCATCCATCATCCAACAATCCACACATCCACCCATCCACCCACCTACACATCCATCTATCCCTCCATCTACACATCCATCCACCCACTCATCCATCTATCCTTCCACTCATCCATCCATCCATTCATCCATCCATCCATCCACCCACCCACCCAGATTAACTGACAATTATCTTTTGGTTCATTGAGATTCCTTAAAATTAAGTATACAGTTCTGGTATAAAACAAAATATGACCTACTATAGCTGAAAAATAATCACAGTGCACAATGTCATTTTCAATTGCTAAGAGGCAGAGCCTTTGCCCTGGCTTGTCCAGCTTGCCTGTCCTCTGAAGAGACCGACACAAGGCTCATTTTACCCCACTTTACATTCATTGAAGAAGCGCTGAGAGGTCATTTTCTCATCTGTTTTGAATCGGTACCCTTAGTGGAAGGTCTGACGTGGAAAAGTGCAAGCAAATTGGACATGCCAATAAATACCGTAGAACTTACCGCGGTTACCAAAACTGTACATGTATGTACACCTCACCCAACTGAGGTTCCTCCCTCGGGAATAGACCTCAAAAACATTACCATGGGGGCATCCCAGAGTTCTAGAGGAGTTTCCTCAGCGAGCGAAGGATGGGCGGGCCCTTCTGTTCCTGCTCTGGGGACCTGTGCCCAAGTCTCCGCTGCTTTCTGCTGTCTCCTCCTTCTTCCTCACTTTGAGGCGGGTGAGCAATTTGATCAACCAGACATCCCACTCTTCTGGAAGGAGCAGGAGGAGGAAGCCCAGGCCGATAATGATGATGGCGATGACCCGGACCCCGTTGAAGACTATCTGACTGGTGTAGTGATCGACCACTGTGGGAGACAGACAACCATTTACTCAGTCTTTGGTCCTGGTGATATGTCTGAGCATTTGATAGGGCAGGAGATTAGGGCAGGCTGGGGTTGCCTGAACCTCTCAACACCTGTCTCCTCTGAGGCCTTGGGCTTGGGTGACGTCATCTGAATCTAATCCAGCACCTGAGTGTAAACTGGTGACTGGAGTGTGAGGAAAACAGATCAAGGGTAACTGAGAGCACATGCGTAATTAGACATGCCGGGTTGTTTAATTCTGGATGATTTGGGTTTCAGGATGAAGAAAATATTATTTATATTTGTTGATACTTTTCACAGTCTCTGTGATGTCATACATGGCATTTATTTTATAATTTAATCTCACTGCATGTGTATGTGTTTTGATAAGCAAACCTGACCCACTTCTTTTAGGATACTATTTGTGAATTTTCTTTTTAAAATCTTTGTTTACATATTGTGTTTTATTTATTTATTTTTATTTGTTTATTTAGTGTATATACACACGATCTTGTGAGTATCAGGGGCACAGTGTGGTCAAAGGATAACTTCTTGGAGTCATTTCTCTCCTTCTGTTTTGCAGATCCCAAGAGTCTAACTTAGGTTACCAGGCATGATGGTAAGTGTCTTCACCCAGCCGTCTCTCCCCCCATCCCCGACTTGTTTTTGTTTCTTGAGTCTCACATAGCCCAGGCTATCCTTGAACTCACTAAGCAGCTGAGGACCACTTTGAACTCCTGGTCCTCAAGCCATCGCCCCCCACAAAAGAGTTGAGGTTACCTGTGTGTGCCATCATACCCAGCTGTAATGAAGAGTTCTCGTTCTCCCTGCCCATCGATTGCTGTGAGGTTCTAAGCCTCAGGTGATGCTGCTTTCCCCAAGGGCTTCACTAAAGACACCTGACCTGTACTGATGAGCAGTCAGGTGACAGGAGTAACTGGGAGATGGATTGAGATCCTCCTGTAAACATCTAATTCCTCTTCTAACAGCCATAACAGTGCTCAGAGCACCCCACTGTTGAAGGCACCTTCTCTCCTACTTGGGACACCTCCATTCTCTCCTTGGCTAGCCCAGACTGATCGATCCCATTTGAAGCCTGCCTGCCTCAGCAGATAGTATTGCGTAGGGGGTAGATCGGTTTCCCTCTCTTCTGCTGGAGGCTGGGCAACTGCCCTCTTCTCACCCTGGTGGGGGTTGCTTTTCCTCTCTGCCACAGCTAGGCTTTGTTATTTTCCCAACTTCCTGCCTCCTCCTACTTCTCTCCACTCCCTGACACCCCACTTTGTCTAGCAGGGAGGCAGAGAAGGAATGAGAGGGTGCACCCCAAACAAGTTCTTCCCGGAGTCTCCCTGTGGACTCTCAGAAACACTTCATTTTTTGACACTGACAACTGTTAAATCATTGGCCAAGGATGGTTCACCCAGGATCCTCTGAGCAGACACCAGAGTAAGCACTGCAGGCTGGTGACTGCTCTGCCAAGTTCCAGGGCGCTGGTCCTTACCTTCCTCCTCTTGATGGGAACTGGATTCCTGCCTTTGACATGGGATTAACCCTCTGTTCTGCAGTTAAGCCATGCGAAGTGTTCCTTACTAATCTTCGGTGGCAGGATGTGGCAAAGGTAACTCTCAGTGCCAAATTAGTGTGGGATAATGCCTTTTACCATATCCCCATTTAAAACACATGACTGTGTGTGTGAGAAGTGTCTTCCACTATCATGTTTAGACTGCCTTCTGCACCTTGAACTATCTCTCTCTCTCTCTCTCTCTCTCTCTCTCTCTCTCTCTCTCTCTCTGTGACTATGCATGTGGGTACATGTGTGCTGTGTATAAAAATGAGGGGTCACTTCCACTACTGTTTCTTGGGCACCATCTACTTTGTGGGGGGCAACAGGGTCTCACTCTTGCTTAGAGCCCATTAAGTCGGCCAGGCTAGCTGGTCCATGAGCCCAGGGAGCCTCCTGTCTTTGTTTCCCCAGTATTGCTATTACAAGAGTGTGCCACCATGGTGACCATCCCCCCAGTTCTGAAGTACTGTCATATGAACTGTTTCCTCTACTTCTCAATAAGAAGCCAAATGGGCAGGCACAGCCTTCGATTGTGAGGAGACACACTGACCAAAGGGCTGATGAATGGGGACCTCAGACATCTAGGATGGGGTGGGCAATGCTGGGCTGTGCCTAGTATTCTGAGGCCTCTTCACACTGTGGCCATGAAGCACCTGGGAGAGTCTGGTCAAGGTGAGGCATAAAGAACTGTGGGACAGGATAGGGAGTCTCTAAAATCAAGAGTGGCTTTGCTTCTGAAAACTCTACTGTAGATAGGATATGGTGTCGGATCCCTGGAAGCCAGTTTTTTAATGGAATCAGGGGTTCAGAGGCAACTTTGCAAAGAGCCAGGGTATGAAGGAGATGATTCTGGAGAGGAAATTACAAGCTTAAGCCAGCATAAAGCAGCCAGGGAGAGGAGCCAACTATAAGGCCCCAGGACAAAGTGGGTTCCCATACCCAAAGGGCTCTGGCCCTCATCCAGGAGGCAGAAGGAAATAACATTCCTGCCTCACTGGAGTGCCAACCTGTTTCCACATGACTGCCCGATGTGGCAAGTTCTCCTCATGAAAGTCACTTGCAAAAATTCACTCATTTCCTGCTTCAGGCTGCCCTAGGCTCCATCTTCGTTAGGATGGAGACAGCCTTGTACTTTCTGGGCTCAACTGGGAATTGAAGTTTCTCTGCTGAATTGAGCCTGATGGCACACACCTGTAATCCTAGAGGCTGGGCAGGAGGACTGCAAATTCAAAGACTGACTGGGTCATGAAATGAGTACTTCAAGGCTATCCAGACCCTGTCTCAAAACAGAACGTTGAAAAAGGATGAAGGAAATATAGTCTAGTGGTAGGGAACTTGCCTAGTGTGCACGAGGCAAGATGGTTCTTGGTGCCATCCCAAGTACAGCAAAACAGTTAACAACAATGCAAATCTGTCACGGGAAAAGGCTGTGTATACAACAGAGGGCTACATGGTAAGTATGCTAAGTGTGTCTTCTTTCTTTGCAGAGGTTGAACATGCATTATGCAGCAGCTACGGTGATAATAGATGTAAGTGGCTATGTGAAAGTGTGTGTGTGTGTGTGTGCGTGTGTGTGAGATGGTGTGTTTATAACACACAGAGAGAGAAATCTGTGAAACAATGCTTACCTGCATTTACAGGTACACTGAGGACAATTCCGAGAGACATCAGCGTGGGATATGTGACAGCGATTCCAAAGTTTAATACAATATTGAATGCTGAAATAAAGAATTTTGAAGACTAGAGTCACTCATAACTGTCTTGTCCTTGACCTTTGTGCCCAGTTTCTCAGAGAGTCAGGAGGCAGGCACTTACAAGGAGTCCTGTCATTTCATGAACTTAATCATTTTTCTTGAAGACACAGAATTGGGGTTAGGAGGAGCCTTCTAACAAGTCACAGGACCTGAGGGAATGGGTCTTAAAAAGGTAACCAAAGAGCTGTTGCTGTTCTTCATTGTTCGTTCTGTTCCTGGGGTGGCTGAATAGGGATGTGAGGTGTCCTTAGCTTTAATTGTTAACCTGACAGCCTATTATCAGGTCTCAATTGAGGAACTGCCAAGATCAGATTGACCTGTGGACATTTTGATGGGGAGTTGTCTTGATTGTTAATTGATGTTAAGAGGACTCAGTCCACTGTGGGTGGCATCAATCCTTAGGCAGGTGGTCCTGGATACAGAAGCTAGCTAAATGTGACCCAGTGACTGAGATAAAAGCCAGCAAGCTGTGTTCCTCCATGGTTTCTGCTTCAAGCTCCTGTGTGAGTTTCTGCCCTGTATCCCCTACCTGTTAGACTGTGACCTGGAAGTGTAGCCAGATGAATCCCTTTCTTCCTCTAAGGTGCTTTTTGGCCATTGTGTCTGTCACAGCAGCAAAATGAAACTAGAATAGACTCATGAGGCATCTCTGTCACTTTTCTACTCTGCGGGAGCCTTTATCTAGCAGTGAAACGCTAACAAGAATGGTAATTAATTACTCGCTGAACAGAGACACTTTCACAGTGCCCCGTGGACAACTATTATATTACCTAACCCCAGCTGCCACTATGCTATTCAGAGCATCAGTGATAGTTGATATGACAGTTGCCAGGACAATGACCACCGCTCTGCAAAGCCCTCCTAAAGTCAAAGGAATGGGACTGAAGAGATGGCTGAGCAGTTAAGAGTACCAGTTGTTCTCTCAGAGGGCCCAGGTTCAATTCCCAGCATCTACTCCAGACAGCTCACAACAACTAGTAATCCTAGCTCCAGGACATCTGACAGACAGCCTCTTTTGGCTTCCATGGACACCTCACTCACACACATGTACATATAAACAAAAATAAAAATAAGGGGTAAAGAGATGGCTCAGGGGTTTAAGAGCACTTGCTGCTCTCACAGAGGATACTGGGTTTGGTTTCTAACACTACATTGTGGCTCATAACCATCTGTCACTCCAGTCCTATGGGATCTGAGATCTTCAGACCTCCACAGGCATCATATAGTGAACATACATGCAGGCCAAACTCATAAATGTAAATGTACACTCAAACACAATGAAATGAATATATCTTTCTACATGCCCTACCTTCTAAGGCCACCCCTTAAGGGTTAAAAATCCTTAAATATTGCTCTGCAAGGACTTTGAAAAAGAATGAGAACTTCAGGACAGCAAGAGAGTATGGGCTTTCCTTCTGTGTCTGTTGATATCTGTGGGGGCTTCTGCACAGGCTGGTGCTACTTACTCAATAAGAGAACGGAAAACCCACAGAGGTATCCCCATGGAATGTCGTCGAAGGAATTCCAGTACTCCACTCTGGTGAAGTAGAGGATGACGGGGATGCAGGTGATGAAGAGGATGTTGAACACACCCAAGATGGACAGGAATAAGGCTGCTTCTCCGAACTTGGCGCTGCCCAGCAGCAGCTTGAACAGAACCTGCCAGGGAGAATAGGAGGTGAGGATAAACCCAGACCCACCTATGTGGAAGTGACGATTCTGGGGGAATGCTGGCATGGTGGGCACCATAGTTCCACTGGGCTTGACCTTCCTTGTCTGTCAGTGAAGCCTGATAAAGCTTGGTGGAGTTTTGCAGTCTACATGCTGTATAGCAGCAGTTGAGGCTGAATTATGTCTGGCCTCACAAACCTTGTCTCCAGAAGTCATGGCTCTGCATACTGCACACGGCTGTTAT